TTCAGCTTCTGTAACCAACAGGACTCATTGAATTTAGTAATTGAGTCATGTTTAAGGTAGTTTTAATATGTAGTAGATGAAAAATTAGCATTGCAACCACTTACAAGTATAATTGTGGCACTTTTCCTTTTTGTCTGTAATTGTTAGGTACTTTTTCTAAGTGCCTTAATGGAGGCTCTTAATGCTGTAAGTTGATTGGTTCAAAAAAACTCTTAATACTCAAGACTCTTGGTGTAGATGATTTTGTTTTGTATTTTGGTGTGGTTGTTTTAGAGAGGTATGTTCATTTAAGTCAATAATTGATTTATATTTAAGAGAATTTTAATGAGCAATAAGTGAAGAATCATTTCCAATGTGTTACAAGTATAATTGGAGTCCTCTGAGCTTTTTGGCAATAATAGAGCTTTTAATATTAAAAAATGTTGGTTCGGATGCTTGTGCTCCATATTTTACTATAGATATTTGAAGGACAAGTATGTTAGTTTTCTTTTTCCCTTTCTGCAGTTTTTGATGCTTACCTGATACAGTAAAAAATATGCATTTTCTATTGCAATATTTTCTCAGGCGTTATTGCATGAATCTAAAAAATTGATTATGGAATGCATGATACCTGTGAATAATCATAGAAACCTTCTTACATCTTTTAACTGTATTTGCAAAATCTAATATCCATGGCTACATGTGGTTAAATTGTTAGCAAAGGTTATTTGTGTGACGCTCGAAGGAAAAGAAAAGGGAAAATTTTCCTTATTTATTTTATTTTTCGCGTGCATTTCTATTACTTTATTTTATTGTCAAAATTTTCCAGAGACTTTTATAAATGAATATAGTTTTCCAACCATTTTTCTAGTATAAGTTAGTTCGGGTCAATTTGGAAGTGTATTAAGGACGTGGGACTCGCTAGTACGATAAATTTTTGGCAATTAATTGAAGTTTAGTATTGATGGGTATTATTTTACAAGGTGCTAGGAGATAATTAGAGATTAGCTAGATAGATTAACCATTGGAAGAAAGAAGATAAGTTTGAACCATTTAAAGTGCCACGTGTCGCGACACGATTGGGTGGTGGACTTGCCTAACTTTCTTTACTTTTACTAAAATCCCAATTTTGACCAAGATCATCTTCATTTTTTGCTTGGGATGGTCGAACCTCTTAGAGGAAGAAACAGAGAAACTTTTCAACCTCAACTTCAATTCTTGCTTCAATCTTGATTTCCAACCATTGGAATTGTAAATTACTCCATCAAAGTTGTTTATTAAGGAGGATTAAAGCTTCTAGTGAAGGGATTTGTGAAAGGAAAACCCTAAGTTATCATCTTTCTTGAGGTGTTAAGGTACTTTGCTTACAAACTTCGTCTTTGTTCATGCTAATGTCAAATTAGCAGCTCTAGTGGCTAAATATGTTGATTTGTGGTAGGTTTTATGGTTGAAAGTGGAGTTTTGATGGATTTTTAATTTATTAGTGATTTTTCTATTTTTTATCATAATTATTGTTTAGTCATGGATTGATGGCCTGTTATAGTGTAAAATGGAGATTAATATATGTTGGATATGATTGGTTGCGGAAAATTATAGAGTTTATGCGGAAATTTCAGTTTAGGGTTTCATCCTACCCTGTTCTGCCCAAACCTATTAGGCCATGATGGAGGCCGAATCAGCCTTTGCCCAAAACATGAAAGTTGTTGGTAATTGAGCTAACTAGCTACCTGTAAAATTTCAGCTCAATCGGAGTACTGTAGCATATGAAATGACTGAAATATTCTTGACTGACCATGAGCCCTGTTCCGCGCCCAGATTTCTGTTTTCTTGGAAATTTCTATTTTGACCATGAAAATGCATGATTTGGCTTTGGAAGTCTTCATAAGAAATGTAGGGTTATGTCTTGGCTTCGAAATTCCATAAGATTCGTTTCAATCCGATAAATGTAGCTTCAGTTATAGATATTATGCCGAAAGGTGTATTTGATAGTCTATGATGTGTATGTGATTGATTTGAGATGAAATGGTGTTGCTTATAGGATGGAAAAGTAAGGAAATGTAGGGGAAATGCTGTCCGATCTTTGAAAGCATTTGATTGCTTTGAGTTTGAGTTGAAGAGCTTGGACTTGAGCAAGGCAATGAATATGATGGATGGTTCCTGAGTCGTGGTTAGTGAGTGACCCCAAACTATTTCCAAAGCTACTTATGAACTGTTTCTTGCATTATTTACTCGATTGCATATCATGTGTGCTTGCATGTGAGTTCATGACATGTTTTGGCTCAAAGGAGTACTTGGAATTCGTGTGCTTAGAACCAACGTCTCCACCACTGTTTACCTGGAGCAAATGGCTCCCTATCATTGTTTCACTGTTAACTGATCAACTTGAGCGTTAGACGTCTAAGTACCATGATTTCACTGGCTCACGAGAGCAATAAACGTATATTTGATTACTGATTCATGATATCATTGAAATGAACTATTGTGAAACTGATTTGATTACCGATTTTACTGGTTACTCGTTGAGCTTGTAGCTCACTCCAAAACTATTTTTAATCCCCTCCACAGGTCTCGAGGCGAAGGAAGCATTTGTATTAAAGTTCTCCGTGTGAATGGTCGGATGATCTACTGTACCGTTGGAGTTTTAGTTTTATCTTGCGTATTATTTGAGACTGCAATTGTACTTGTACTTATGTGAGAATTGAGAGCCTTTGTCTTATTCGAAAAATTAGTATTTCTCGTATCTCTTGAGGTTTTAGTTTATAGTGTATGTAAGTGTGTAACATTTGATGTAATATTTGAGATTTATATTGTACTTTGTTTCAGGACTGTAGTGAGTGAGCGAGTCCCGGCGAGAGTTGGGCAGGCGGTCCGCTGAACCCTTTGGTTCGCCTTAGGGGAAGGTGGGGCTGTCACAATTTGTTCATTGCAAATTCTTGAATAATATAGGATCTAAATTTAGCCTCACATTTGATACATGCTAATTGTTGATTGTTGATTGGATGTTAATTATTGTTTAAGAAAATTTTGGACTGTTTGTTTAATGGGAAAAATTATTTGTCATAAATATTGCTTGCGCAAAAAAAATGGTGAAATTCATTTGGATTTTAAACTTTAGTAGATTTGGTTTGAAAAGGTCCTTCTTAAATTTGTTTGAATGGTTATCCTCTAATTATTATGTATATATAATCTCCATGTTTTTAAGTTTCTTGCTTTTGCCATCCATATGTAAATTAATCCAATATCAAACTTGTTTATCAAGATATTATAATTAGGTTAAAGAACAAGAATACATTGTGTATGATATGAGGGCCTTAGTCCCACGTCAAAAATATGGCAAGGAAAGAAATTGTATAAGAATCTAGGCCTATGGGCTACTTAGTAACTTGGGTAATCATTTTGAATTCTATAATTCCATTCAAAAGTTATTTGGACCAACCATGAACTTGGGGCATTACAATTAGTATCACAGTAAATATTGTGTGGTTTCGATTACGCAAGAGAGTGCAACTTTTTGCATGGTTTCAATTAGGGATGGCAACGGGGCGGGGTTGGGGCGGGGGATCCTTCCCCCGTCCCCCGCCCCGTTGTCTATTAGTTCCCCCCATCCCCCGCCTCCTGCTCCCCCCGCCCTGCCCGCACCCGCGGGGTTAATAAAATTTTATTATATAATTTTATTATAATTAAATTTTAATAAATAATCAAGTACTAAAATAATATCAACACATCACCAAATTATTATTCATTATAATTTTACAATTGAAACTCATAAAAACAATCATGGAACTTGGATTGTAGTATTGCGCTCCGAACTCCTATTGTTTAAATGTTGCATTTTCCATTTTGAAGTTGATGGATGGTTTGACTCGCTTTTTTGGTAGCAGTACCGTTTTATTTTGGTCTAAATTTACACAACTGTTTTCACATGTATTTCATATGAAGCCTGTCAGGGTAATATTTTATGCTTCAGCTGTGTCTGGGGTATTGACAAAGTGTTCTTCTGATCCTTCTGTCTATGATCTTATTGTCTGTTAGACTGCAAGTTCATATTCAGATTTTGGAACTCAAATGTGTAGATATAGTGGGAGTCAATAGTAAAGCGGTGGTACTTCACCACAACTCAGAAATTGTTAAAATCTAGAAAGTCTAGTTTGCTTCTGAGTAAGTAAGTGGAGGTAAACTGTTGTCTAGGTAATTGCAGCTTGATTGATCACTGTTTTACCATACATAGGAGAAAATTTCCCAAGATCTATCTATTATGACTCTATATTTTCATGGCCTTCATTTATTGTGACTTCAGATATTAAAATACACTTCTCTCTCTGAACAACTTGACCTTTGCAGTCTTGCATTGCTAAATCTGAGGGGAGTTGAGAAGTGCTGATGGATTTGATTGTTTGTATTTCTCTTCACTATACATAAACGGATTGATTGTTTTACTACACAATATGTAAAAGGTTTAAAGAGAAAAAAGAGATTGGATCATCTGCAATATGGTCACTCAAGTTGATCTCTTTGTAGCTTGCCTTGTTTTGAGGAGTGGTATTAGTACTTTATTCAAATTGGAAAAGGCTCTTGAAATTCATATACATCAAAACTGGTAGAGGGAACAGTTAGGTGCAGCCCATGGGCTTGGACATTGACTGAACTTTTGAGATCCCTGTGGATTTTTAATTGGATAGGATGAAAATATTCGTGTTATTCACAAGGTTGAGTAGGATTATTCGATCCAGCATATGGGTACTATTTGTGTAGAGTGAATATTGAAGTTGGAAATTTTTTGTGTCTAAGGCTGAAAATTTTGAACTTAAGCACACATTGCTTATTTTTGATGCATCCATTCTGAGTTTGACATATAATTTGCAAACATTTTTTTTGTTGTGAAGAAGTTTTTGAGTCAGACATTTGAGTTTCTGGGATACACGCCAGCAGTTTCATGCTAACAGAAGGCCTTCTGTTCTTTCCTGCTTGTTTGCATGTTTTTGATGTTTTAACATTGCACATATTTGTTACTAAGAGTTTAGACATGTTTATAATGAATCAGGAAAGGTTCAAAGAGTGGAGCATCTGGGCGGTGCTATGGATGTCAAGGTTCTGGCATGAGGGTCACGACACGACAGATTGCACCAGGAATGATCCAACAAATGCAACATATGTGTCCTGAATGCAAAGGCTCGGGTACCTACTTATATTTTTAATGTGCTTTTCTGTTTCTTTTTTGTTGCATACTCACGCAAAAGAAGAAGAATAAGAAGAGAACAATGAAAACTTTGGATCACTTTTCTGTTGTTATAGGGGAGGTTATCAGTGAGAGAGATAGATGCACTCAATGTAAAGGAAACAAGGTTGTACAAGAAAAGAAGGTGCTGGAAGTTCATGTTGAGAAAGGTATGAAACATGGTCAGAAGATTGTATACCCAGGCGAGGCTGATGAAGCTGTAAGTTAGATACCTGCTGTTCAAAAGATTTACGCTCATGTGTCACCCTTTCTGTATTGTTTAAACTTCCTTGTGATTTCTGATTCGTTTTTGACTATGGATTTCATCCTCGTTGTAGCTTACTTGCTCTTGTGGCAAGAGGCTTTTTTAAACTGGCTTGCACTGTTTTATTTTCTATCAAGTAATTGTTTTCTATTGTTATGCTCTCAAGTTGAATAAAGGTGGTGCATAGTTTTGACAGATATGGACTTTTCCTGATAGTTTCTTGTCTGACTGTGAGACATAACTGTTATTTTCTTATATATTTTTTTTCTTTGATGTATAGGATCCTGAAATTGTATATGTCCAATTATGCATGAAATGTAATGTTGTATATGTGACTCGGCCAAAAGTGATGTGCAACTTGAAGTTGGAAAGTTGATCTTAAATCTGATGATAGATTAGGCTGCATATGTAGAGAAGCTGTTAGTATATTTGTATGTTTTCATACTGTATTTTAGCTGTTAGGATATTTGTATGTTTTAAAACTGAATATTGAAGGTTAAAAGAGCATAGAATGGATTTTGGTCTACTCATTATGTTCAAGAAATCAAGAAAACAAATTTTTAAGTGTTTTGACTGGTTGCAAAGTTAAAAGCTACAAATTCAGTTAACTAGTTGCAGTGTGGAAATCCAAGACTGAAAACAAGACTCATGTTCAGGGGGTTTTTAAACAAATCTTGAGAAACCACTGTCATTGTCTGTACTTCCAGCATGCCCATAGGTACTTAACCAGTAGGATACCTGGTCGTCTGCAGAACTGCTTGCAAGTTGCAACTGACATTTATGCTTACTGGTTCATGCTTTGTATCATAAATGTAGAATATTATGTATGTTACTCTACCTGCCAAATATGGGAATCAACATGTAATTGCTAGTTTCTTGGAGTTCTCTGGATTCTGTAACTGATTTACCTCTTGACCATTTATTTTGAGAAGAAGCCTTCATGAAGTTAGAAAGAATAAGATTATAGGTTGTACCTCGCTGGTTGCCTTTCTGTGAGAAGCAAGGTGGTATTGACAGAAATTAGGTGGAGGTTAGAAGAGGGAGCAGTTATGGTGACTTTATTGGCCTAGTGAGCAATGGTTATGCAGGTAACAGGGAACTTAAGACAAACCCAGGATGGAGATGGTCACAAAGTTAACCACCGTCATGGCTTCCAAAGGGACCAACACAGTTTTCTTTTTTGTTTAAAGGAGCAATTTCTACAGAATTCTTTAGGTGGGAGAGCCTATAAGAAAATCAATGATCCTGTAGTTGGGATGACTGAGATTTTTCAGTTTCTACTCTTTGGGTGGTTTCTTGACTTTATTTGTTGTTGATGAGATTGGTGGTAATGACGAACTTTGCGGCAAACTGTATGGAGCAAAGGGTCTGTAGACTACCTTGTGACTGAGACTTCTGGTTCTTTAATGCAGCAGCTAATACAGGATTCTATTCTGCTAGTGAAAAGTGAAGGATTGACGGGTAATTAGGCTGGAGGGTGGGTGGGGATTGGGGGTACGGATGGAGAAAAAGGGTGAGGAAGATGGTGAGAGAGGGAGGGAGGGCTGTGTCAAACGTCGTACCGCAAGCGGTGGATATATGGCATTTAATGTTTTGGTGTCTTATTTTCTTTGGTAAAGGGATCATAATTATTGTTGCATAATGAGTATAAGCTTTTAGTACTTCCATTCTCATTCCCACAAATGTCATGTAACTGCAGCCTGATACCGTCACTGGAGACATAGTATTCGTGTTGCAACAAAAGGAACATCCCAAGTTCAAGAGGAAGTTTGATGATCTTTATGTTGAGCAGAGCCTTAGTTTGACGGAAGCTCTGTGTGGATTTCAGTTTGTCTTGACTCATCTTGATGGCAGGCAACTTCTGGTGAAATCAAACCCCGGTGAAGTTGTTAAGCCTGGTATGCTGTTTCTGTTTTTATACATCCTTTCTTCCCGCCCCCACCCTGCTGCTTCTTGCTTTCAAAGAAGTGAGTATGGTTTCATATTTTTTTGTTTGTCAACCAATTCCAGATCAGTACAAGGCAATAAATGATGAGGGAATGCCACACTACCAGAGGCCCTTCATGAAGGGCCGTCTATTCATCCATTTTAATGTGGAATTCCCGGAGTCAGGGGCTCTGCCCTCTGAGAAATGCCAGGTCTTGAAGGCGATGCTCCCATCAGGTTCACTTAAGCAGTCGTCAGACATGGACTTGGATGAATGCGAGGAAACCACTTTGCATGACGTCAACATTGAAGAAGAAATGAGGCAGAAGCAGCATCAACGACATCAAGAGGCTTATGATGAGGATGATGAGGATGAACCAACGATGCATCGAATGCCCTGTAACCAGCAATAAATAACAACTCCGCTTCTTTTGTTGCCCGTAAGTTCTGATGGGACGCAACGGCCTCCTGCTTGCGGTACAAAGCTAGCTATATACAGGATATGGAAGTCCAGCCATTATTAATTAATTATTTTTTGTGGTTCTTAATATCTTCTTAGTTGAATATTAGCATATGAATGCGATTTGAAACTTGAGTAAAATCTAAGGGGATCTTTTGCTTAAAAGAGGAGCACATATGTTCTGAAAGCGCTCTGAAATTAGACTGTACGTCTTGAGCATTTGGTGGTGCAAATAATTGGCTTTACAAGTACAAATGTTGCCCCCCGCCCCAAACATCCATCTGAAGCAGAAGGTATGGTCTGTCAACATGCATTCTCAGGAGAATCAACCAAAAGTCTATCACGCTTCAAACTAATCAGTTGGAAGTGCTTTCTTGTCGGTGCAAACCTTAAAACACAAAATGGTTGATTTGATTCCCACTAACATATTGTTGGATTTGGTGCAGCCAAAAAGCCTACTCTCCTGTTAAGTCCTCTTTATGTGATGGTTTGCCTGATAAGAGAAGATTCTAAGGAAGGTCAGACTGGGCAAGCCGCGGCATTCCATGAACAAGAAACTGAAGTCTCAGCCAAAAAAAGTTTTAAACAAGGATTTGATAATTATTATGGCGCACGAAGCCAAATTTCTTTGCTTCACCATTTCATGGGCTGATCATGAGAAGAAATGATCCACCATTTCTAACCATCAGATGAACTTGATGTTAACACAACATTAAAGATAAGAGCTATAAAGATAACGATGACTAATAACAACTAGCAATGATAAGGATACCCATCCGTGATGCTCATCGTATGTTAATCATACAATAATTACCACCATGAAACGAGTGCAGGATAAGATTATTTTTCTTTCTTTCTTTTTTAAATATATATATATATATATATATATATATATATATATATATATAAATGTGGTATGAAGTAATTTGAAATAATATCTTGATTTTTGTAAACAGAATAAATAGACAGATAACCATTATAATGAATGCTATGTCACATTCAGAGGTGAGTCTTAAAAACATTTTGAAAAAAGAGTAACATATACTTGAAGTGGAAAAGGAGCTCTGTACTGCATCAAGAATTGCTCTTGTATCTGCGTACTCTGATGACATTATTGACATAGAGAGCAAATTATAACTTGAGTCCAACCTCTGTCCAAATAAATTGACATGTTACGTAGCGATCAGGAATAAAAGCAGTAGGAAAAAGTTAGGAAGAAGATCCCATTGGACGAAATTACAAGATTCACGTTTTAACATGCAATAATTAAGAAGCTCAGCTCCATTGTGATTGATTTGTTCAGTGTACTGAAAGATAAAAACCACATTTGATGTAACGTCGCCGAAAGTTCGAAACCCACAAACAAAGACCACTTATTTTGCCTGCCTGCCTGCCTGCCTGCTTGAGCCTTCACCTCTGAAGCCAACACGGAGGTACACTTGGTACGTACTACATCTGGTTTGACACTTGACAGCAATCGATAATGAAGAAGCAAGCATATGATTCTAAAGTTTCTTATCATCGACTTTAAAAAGCAAGCTGTTCCAGAATATTTCACATGCCTTCCACCATCAATTCAAAAGCTGGTGATGAAGCGTACATGTACAATTTTGCAACGACAAAATACATACTTTTGCCTTTGAGTTGGGATTTGATTATCTCCCAAAAGATCACTGGAGAGAAAGATAAAATGAACTGTTTCAACATGTGCTCATGGGTGGAAATGGAAAACCATTTGTAGCTGCTGCATTTTTCCTGTCACAAAAAAGTATTGGAGATTTGACGCCGGCCACCTCAAATTATGATTACTCAGCATACCAGAATAGAATAGCATATTTCTTCTGAAGTCTTTAACTTCATCATCACGACCTTGACATTTGACAGTGCTCAAGTAGCCTCCCTCCACAGGCAAAATTTGTGGGATTTGTTTGACTGTTTTTTTTTTTTCCCCTATATATGAATATGTGGCAAACTAAACATGCGTTTAGCTGTAGCTGCACGGACGTATACTTGTCAACCATTTCGATTGGTTAGAAAAGAATTCAATTAGCGAATGATAAATCAATTTACTACTTTTCCGGACAGCGTATAGAATTCGACAAGTCATTAGAAGTTGGTAATTTTGAAATCTTTGTAGTGTGCACGTCCTTCTTTCTTTCTTCTTTTTTTTTAAGGCTTTTAACTGGCTTTCTTTTTGCCCTCCACAAACCAAGAATCTACCATCCCAGCTCCGTATATAGTATGTATTAAATGCATCTTCCTCTGGCCTGTTAATCTCGGGTCAGATACTTCACTTGATCACCAAGATTCAAGTTTGTAGGGTAGATTGTTGTATATGTATCGATACCAATGTTGGACCACAACAAGACATCTATCAGGTGAATTATGTCTGATGTTTCTTTGTTGTTGAACCATAATTGCCTGCGATGATTATTATCTGTAGTCGCTACTTCATTTACTCTCTTGCCTCCTTGATTTTGTGCACCGCTGTGTTCGGGATCTCAAGTTTAAACTCTCCCCAACTCGTATTTTTCTTCTTCTTTTAATTTTTTTTTTTGTGTGGGGGGGGGGGGGTGTGGTTACATTGTTTGGAAGAGAGTGTGAACTCTAGAAAGGAAGGGAATTTGGAAAAGAGGGCAAGTAAAATGGATGGTTTAGTTAATGATATAAAGAATGATGGGAATATAAAGAGGGAATTCGTACTACTACATACCTAACACTTCTGCTTTAGTTCATGGAGAAGAATATTTGACGTGGCAGTGGAGCACATAATATGCAGTTGAACAACTCCACATTCATCCAACGTATACTTGTGAATCAGTACAAACTGAGGTCACTAAATGTCCATCAAATGCTTGATTACAAATCCTGATGAGCTTGACGAAGAGTAGTAATTAGGTTTGCGACTTTTTCTGGTGCAGGAGAATGTTTTGATTTGATACTAATAGATAAGGGTTTTGAGATTCATACTTATCCTTGCCTGTTCGGAATGAATCGTACTCCTATTCAATATCAGTACAGAACATCATTATTGGCGCGGCTCTTCCATTGCGATTCGAGGCTCTCACTAAGATAACCAGTGGATCACTATAATATAGCTCAATTTGCATACAGTAACATTTAAAAAAGGAAAAGTCAAAGAGTACGCGTCTTCAATCTGTCAAGTCATATCACAAAAAGTGTTATTATATTTTTATTTTTCAAGAAATCTTTTATCTGACTCCACAAGTCTTAGATGAGTGTAATTTTTTTTTTTTCGGAAATAATGACTAGTGTTTGGATAGAGTATTTTTTGAAATAATTATTGTAATACTTTTTGTAATATGATGTGTGTGAGATAAAAAGTAGTTGGAAATATAAAAAGATGAATTGGGAAATGTGTTTACGATACAAGCGAAATATTATTTGGGATAATTTAGCAATCCAAACACTTTGTAAGAATAAATTGGATAGAAATGAGTTGCTTACCCATTGTGTAAGTGATTGTGAGTTAACTTTAGTACTCCAAAGATATGTGGCTCAAGATTTGGATCAAACTGAGTAAATCTTCTCGTCCAAAAAATATACAAACAGGCATGTCAAGTTTCTACTTCAGCATTTTCTGATTGCAATCATTACTTTCTTCTTGTCTTCTACAAAGCTTAGACACGCACAACTACACAAAAATGAGCTTGCTGTCTGAAACGGTTAGTGAGTTCAAAGCCTTCAGGCAAGCTTGTCATCAAATTAATTGATGAAAATATTTGAATATCTAATATGTCCCATGCATGGAGATGTGGAGAGAAAGGAGGAGGGCGACAAGTACATGGTCGACGTCAATGGATCATGTAATGCATGAAACTTAAGATTGCAGTAAATCAAAAAGAAGAACCGCTGTACGCGGCTCTTTGCTCATATTTTGCTACGTCCTTTTAGCTAGACCTAGACCCCGAAAATGAAGCCCGTCTATACAAACATTGGCCTTGTTTGGATTGCAATTTTTGTGTAAAAATTTTGTACGTTTTACGTTTTTCGTGAACACTTCTTTCAAAAATTTTTTTTTAATCTTTTATATATCAAATTATTATAGTATATTTTTCTATAAAAACTTCGAAAAACAGTAATTCAAATAGGTGTGATCTAACCCAAAAAAATATGTGGAGAGAAAGGAGGAGTTGTTGTTTTCGCGGGGGGGGCTTCGCGCATGCAAGATTCAGAACAGCCACAAAGTTCATGTGCGACGTGCACGAAAGCTAAGATTTCAATAACTCAAGAGGAGGAGCTCTGTTGACTGCCACGTCTCTTAACACAGATTTTTGACAGGTTTCAAGTCGCGTGTGAAATTGTTAAGAAAAACATGGCAGTTCAGTTCCTTTGTTGGCATCAGAATCGGACAGTTAGCTGAGTGGTATTGGTATCCTTTCCTCTCATTTCCTGCCCTTCAACCTAACATTATTGGTGCCTAAGGAAGGGAATCAATTTTAGTATCCTTACAAACAATCATTTGCCACTGCTCAAGAGAAACTGAGAACATCTCTTAGTGATCTACCTACCAAACACACACTCACACACTGGTTCTTAGACCCACATTTTCATGCACTTGCAAAGCTTGTCTTTTCATGTTGAGAGATAGAAACCGATTGACGTGGACGAACGTTCAATTTTGCATGGCTCCACATTCACTGCTATACGATTCCTGGTAAAAGAAGAAAGTGACTCCACACCCTACTTCCAAAATAGACGAACAAAAACAAGAATAAAAAAAAAAAAATTCCCCGCGACGCCGGCTCCTACACAGGAAAGCGGACCCGCTTTGTACCGCGCGTTCTTCTCTATACCACAATCTATAGAATTCCCTTTTCTTTTTCTGTTTTTTTGTTCAGCACTTAAGTCGCTATACACACACATTATCCGGCCCACAACTTAAAACAATCGTAATTAAGTGTGATTTTGAAAGAACAAAATGACTAGAAAACTAGATGGAATCCAAAAGGCCTGTACGGAATGCTTACGACTTTGTCTTTGGAATCAGAATGCACCATATTTCACGTCACTATTTTGTCAGAGTGACAAGTTCCTGCCAAGATTTATGCTTGATTTGTAATGTCAAGTCCCTGTTAATATTAACTGGAATTTCACCTATGTTTCAGCAAAGGGTTCCCTAATTGTGGTGATCAGAACAAAGGATAATGGTGACTTGGTG